GCACATAAACATATTAAATAGTTTTACTAAACGACGTCAACGTCAGAAGTATGTACTATTACTTTGGCATTCGATGTTTTAAGAAAGAAAGAATAAGATTACTACCAACAGATCGTGTTTTCAGTTATATTTGCGTATAGAAGGAAATCAAATCAGTGCTATTTATGATGAACTTCAATGAACTATGATGTACGTTAATCCTGATAGATCAAAATGGAATAAAATAACATTAATGAATTGACAAAAATTTGTTTTAGATATCTATAATTAACGATGTACAACGAATTTACACAAAAATAATGAAAATTCAACATTTTATCTATCCATGAGTATTAAAAGTAAAATGAAAATAAATCAATCTACGCTTATTTCACTGAAGAAATTGACTCATTCTCTTATTGTTGTACTAATATATAATTTAGCTAATACTAAAGTCTCATAAATTCAAACTGATTTTTTGTCAAATGATTCTGCTTTCAGTTTTCAATAAGCTCAATGAAAAAATCGGACGAAATCACTCAGTTTTATTGTGCACATTAGACATTGTAGCAAAGGCTTGAACTATCATTATGACATGATTTTCTTGCTATACCAGCCGCTGATATATATATGAACGACTACATAAACTTATCTCGTGATAACATATAATACATTATTGGTACTCAAACAGAACGAAAGTCTGGAAAGACTTACATCATCTCCACGTTAGCTATTGTCCATATTTTAACTGTTTTTATCCAACAGTTATATGACAAACAATGATTTATTCTTAACATTATCTACCAATTGTTGATTCTATTTGAAAGCCGACTCGAGATGTCCATCATAATTACAAATCAGCTAGTTCCTAGCGTAATGTGCTCTTCAAAAAAATCTATATATATCACTTTATAAAACTCATCTAATCCTGCCTGCAGGAGCTTTAATTAGGCAAATTACTGAAGTAGCCTTTTCAACTAGCTTATTAAAGTACTCTATACGTGTTCTTTACATACTGTTTTTTATTATGTCTATACCGTATTGACAACGTATACAGGTTTTTACATGTGCAGTCTAACACAACATTTATAAATATTTTCTACATGGCTCAACTTTAGTAGCCCTATAGAATCGTGTGAAGAGCATAAAGGGCCATAAAAATCTCGTTTTTATTCTTAATGAGCATTATCTTTACTCTCTTGAACTCTTCCTGTAAATATAACATTTTTAAAGAGCCCATCTGCCCATAGCAACTACAGTCAAATATTAGTCATCAAGATTGGAAAGCATAAAACATTGGGTCTTGCTGGATTATTAAAAATCAGACTTATATAAAGAACCGTCACTTTGCATATGTTAAGAAGAAACAGTGAATGTGAAGTAGAGAAAACAAAACCTCAGGTCTCTATTCATGCTTAATAGCGATGCCAATGTTAAACAAAATGGAATATAACCTAAAGGCATTTTAAAACAACGGAGCTGATTACCTCATATAGAGCTTGATTGGAAGCTAATGATTGTAAGTAAAACAATTCAAAACCGTTAAGAGGAGGTTGACTTTGACAGAAAAACAAAGATATTAAGCGACAACAAAGAGTAAGAGATGGTTTTACGACACAACAATGCTTATGAACATCGAGTCATGAAAAGTTAGATTATGCCAGATAGGACTCAATAAGAGCTTTCAATCGTCTAACATTACAAAGTATCTAATTATAGATTTAAGATATTTCCATAACATGAAGTAAATATAGAGCGTAAACAGTGATTGAGTACTACACGCTTAAGACTTTGTACTGTACTACGGTTCAACTTATATGATCGCCGTTTTCAAACTAAAAATCATCGTGATTTATCTATATGCAACTGTTTACACTTCATATTATTCGATCAAGACATCAATAAACAAAGAGTTATATATCTATCACAATAATTTATATAGAATTGTGGCGAAATATGTCATGCTTTGTTTTTAGATTCACATAAAAATACATATTCCTATCCAGAAAAAACATTCATGTGAGAGTTTCTTGGCTAAATGCCAACATGAACCAGAATCTAGTAAAAGTAGACTGAAGGCTATAGATTCGAAACATATCATATACCGAAAAGAAGCAGAAAAACAAGTATTCAATTTCTGATATTTGCTAATCCAATTTACTTTTTTGAACATCTTAATAACATAAATAGTATTTTATTACAACGTATTATGCATACCAATAAAATTTAATAGAAAGAAAAAAGCCATGCTTCGACATAGATAATGATTAATAAAATTGGTAGCGATCGTAAAGACCTCTAATAAAACATTTTCTTATAACTATTTATATCTCTATATTGACCTGAAATTTCTTTTTCTTTGGACATAAAATACCTATAACACAGATCGTTGTATAGATGCTTCGTCCTTCTCATGAAGTTCGTTCATAGTAGAGTGATTCTTTGAAAGATCAAGAAAATGAATTCTCATTAGTTCTCAAATGCTTGCAAAAAAGGTTTGAACCAAATCAATGAGATCTAACATCATTGACAATTTTTTACGAACCTATCGTCTCAACAACAACTTCAAACAAATAACATGTTATATTAGATGATAACATTTTTTTATTACTTACTCATACCTATGAGAATTTCTTAGGTTATTCTAGCAAAGCAACAGAACTTGCAAATCAAATTTATGATTACAGAAAATTGCCGTAGAATAAAAATCTTTCATTTTAGATGTCATTAAAAGTTGTTTATGTTTTTCTAGAAAGAACGTGTAAATGGACGGATATTGTGATCGAGTACACTTTCACAAATACATTACAGCCAAAAGACAATTATGGAAGAACATTTTTCCAAAGGACTAATTACTGGGAACATCCTTGCTAGGACACATTTTACAAGTTGAATTACGATCTATTTCATAAAATTATCCACCTCATTATTTTTCTTCTAGCTAGCAAAATTATATGAGTCAATAGTCATGCTTTTTTTGTTCTACAAAAAAACTTACTGAAACAATCTAAATAATAATATGAAGAAACTATGCTTCTAATAGAAATCTAAAACAAAAGATCTTATTACACTTTTTCTGTACCAGCAAAGTATATGTTTACAGGTATTTTTCGTCGGATACAGCTAAGTATTAACGGTATAAAATCCACAAAGTAATGTTCCTATCCTTTTTATGAATATGAAATATAAATTGATGCTGAATTAACAAACAAATTGTAAATACACGTACAATTTCATCATTGGACACGTCGATAAGAAAATACGGATGAAGAAAACAAAGACAAATTCAAGTGAGTAACATAAATTCAAGATTAAGTTTCGATCATAATGAAACCATCATCTTAATATAACCTTAAATTTAATGCTACATCCTGCTTCATAAGTTCTGAATTAATAATGTAAACTTCTTCATTAAAATATTCTACTTACATTGTGTTTTCTTTCTGAATATCATGTAAAGTAACACGTAGAGCAGAAGAAGATGCTCAGTACATTTCTCTTCTGCTTGATATAGCTGCTATTGAAAATATTATACAGAATTATCGTTTATGACCAGTATGTAACAATAGGACTTGCACTTCTGCATATACCAGAGATGTCCATCTCGACAGCGGTGATCGCTTTTTTTGAAGGACATTGCAGAATTGCATGAACTTGCAAGTTATTCCGATGTCAGCAAATGTCCAATTCAGAGGCTCGATGAATCTCCTGGATTAGTAACAAGAATTCTAAATAATTATATTCGCAATATTAAAATTAGAAATAATGTTTTTTCTTTTGAATACCATCACGCACGTTATAGTTAGTTTTTGAATGTGATGTAGTACTGGCAAACGAGTTTTTCTCTCTTATTGTCGTTGAGCGATAATGGCAAGTTGTCAGCTACAATGAATGTCTCTTCTGTATGTTATTAACCAGCGTCCTCTGTTGGGAAGACTCGCAATGTCAAGCTCAAAAAAAATGTATGTCTTGCTTTTGAAGTGAATAATAGATAACATAAAAAAATGAAGTGGTTAAATCTATGTAATACGATAGGATAAGTGACATGTGAAAGATTGTTTGATTGACAAGGTATCGAAATAATCAATGGATACATAAATAAAACGAACATGACAATATGACACAGGTAAACATTGGATGTATGATTTTTTTAAAACAATGTTGACGACGATCATTTTTTCATTCATCGAGATTTAGTTCGTCAGAAAAGATTTTAAGGGCGTAATGTGAGTTATTACTCATTCATGCTCATTTTCGACTGAATGCATTAAAAAAATGCTTTCGGAGCAATAGAGTTCGATCAGTTGTCAGAGTATTTTATGTAAATTTTATTTCATTGCCATGCATGATTTTGCTTTTTTCTTTGATAAACACCGATTAAACAAACATTTTATGCTTTCATATAGTTTTCTTATATTCATTAGATTTCTTTAAAAAAAAAGGTTTTTAACTCACAATTTAATATATTTTTTACCTGATTTTTTTCGTTTTTCTGCTATCAAACAAAAAAATATCAGACAAAAAGAAACGTATAAATCCTTTTCTTTTTCTGTTCTAGTAAGTATATCATATATTTATACATATAGAATATGGGTGTAAAACAACATCACCTTGCAAATGTGGCATAATGTTTTCTTATTCTTTCATTTCTTCTCATCCTACTAGAAGCTTCATTTGCTTTGTAGGCGAGTGCCTAAACGATTGTTTATATGAGTAAATACAAAAAAAAATCCCAGAAATACTAGTGGTGCCGTCTGCATTAGTTGAAGCACACCGTGCCATTTTGTAATTTATGCTTTAATTTTATTTTGCAATGAAAGATTATCTAATGTTTTTCTTTTTCTGTACAAAAGCGTTATTCAACTAAACAATATCTTACGGTGTTGTCATATTTCATGATAATTTAAGAAAGTTACAAACGACATATTATTGTTCTTTGCGCTTTTTTTCAACAAATATTAGGGATCCAGTTGTAAAAAAATAAAATAAAACTTTGTTTTACATTGCAGATAAGCGGTAAAATGTTGCACAGTACATTGATATTCATCTTTGTATTTGTTGTATTTGTTGGCGGCTTTGCACAACAATCTCAATCAAATGTTCAAAATTCGAATAAAGATAGAAATGATAAATTAGTATATCGACACGTACGACAAGTGCGATCTTCTCAATCTGAAGTACAACAATCGGATAAAAATGCTATTTCTTCGGTTAAATCTTCTCCTAGTGAAAAATTATCCAAATCGGAAACAGCATCTGCATTACTTGCTAATAGTATTGAATGTGAAGCTGATATACAAAAATATTGTGTTAAAGGTGGACCAAAACTTATTCCTAATTTGAAAGTATTACGATGCATTGATGACCTTGATCAGGTGAGTTTGTTTACAATATACAAAAAAAGAAACATCATTTTTCTGAAAATTATATTCATTATTTAATATTCAAATTTAGGCTGCGAATTTGATAAGCAAAGATTGTCAACATGTAAGTAAAATTAAATTCATTATATGTCTACTTATTGAACAAATCCATTTTAGCGGATTTATAAATTGAAATACAATATGGTACATGATGTACGTTTTGATGATGAAGCACTTAAACTGTGTGCAAAGGATATTAAACTATTAACTGACTGTAATGAATATACAGATGAACGTGGAAGTGGTCGTCTTATTTCATGTTTATACGATCGTTTGCCTAATATAACTGACCCAAGTTGTCGTCATTATATTAATCAATTAGAATCATTCCTATTTACTGATTGGCGTTTATCGGAACATTTTGCTACTGCATGTTTTCAGGATATTACAAATCTCAAATGTGGACGATTAGATGATGATAACGAAACAGTAGATATCAATCAAATTCTTAAGAAAAAAAAGTTAAACTTCTTTTCTTTAGATACCACACAATCAAGGTGCTGTCATTTCATGTTTATCGAAAAAACATGACAAATTATCTACAAATTGTTTAAAACAAATATTTCGATTACATGAAATGCAATCAGACGATTATCATCTTGACCGTGCATTATATTCTGCATGTCGTGAAGACCGTGAACGTTTCTGTTCTCAAGTTACAAGTGGAAATGGTCGAGTTTATCGATGTTTATATGAGAATAAGCTTAATAGTATGATGTCAACAACTGTAAGTAATCCGTCATTTTTATTATCTTAAGTACATACTATTACTAACCAGATTGTTTTACAATCGACTCTTCTGTATTGTAAAAGAATAAAAAGATATAATAATTATATCAATAGTGAGAACATTTTCTCTAATATTTCGTGCAATTATTTTAAGTAATACTAAAAAACATAGTTTTTTTTCTCAAATTCGAATTGATTTTCATACTAAAATTTGAATGATAAAATTAAGTGTAACAAAGTTTTTCAATGTGATAATCGATGACAAAATCCAGTTTTTTTCCATTATTTAGAAAAAGTTTCTGTTAAAAGAATTTAGTATTGAGGAAAAAAACTACAGGCTTTATTGTTTGCTTAACGTTGTATCTCTGCTTCTAGCATAAGTACATAAATGCAATATTCAAATTTTATATTAAAAATAAAACTTTTAGTGTCGTAAAGAAGTACATCGACGACAGAAAGTAGTTGCTTCCAATGCTCTCTTGGATTTACCATTGATTCGAGGTAAACAATTTAAATTTTAAGAAAATAAAAAATAAAACTAATTCATAATTCTAGCATGTGAAAGTGAAATGCGTGAACATCAATGTGTTACTAATTCACAAGATCCTGATAAGCAACTATCACTTATTAATTTACTTCTTTGTCTTGAAGATAGAGTTAAAAAAGGTAAACATTTAATAATATGTTATTTTCAAAATCATCGATGTCTATTTTACAAAAAAAAAACAATGATAAATAGGTAATCAGATTAAAGATGAATGTCGACGTGAAATGCTTACTCATCGTCGCATGCTTATGTCGGATTATGCTGTTTCACCTGAAATCCTTTCAAAATGTAAAATTGAAATGACTCAACATTGTCATTCATTATATCAAAAAGGTGCTAGCGGCACAATTAATCAACGTGGTGGTCGAATGATTCATTGTTTATTAAGGGCAGCACGTCAAGAAAGCAATTTTAGTCGTGAATGTTTATTTAATATTAAATCATTAGTACGTGCTGTTGATCCAGGTAGTGATATACGAGCTGATCCATTACTTGAAACAGCTTGTCGATCTGTTATTGATACATTATGTGCAAGAATAAAACCTGGTGATTCAAATGTAATTATGTGTTTATTGGATAATATAAAAAATGCTCGAATGACAGAAGAATGTGAAGATCGTCTTATGGAAGTTGCTTATTTTATGGCACGAGACTGGAGGTAATGAAGAAAACAAAGAAAATGAATTTAATTAATATTTATACTTTTTTGTTTTATATGACATAGATTAACACCAAAGTTAATGCGTACATGTCAAAAAAATCTTCTTGATCTATGTAAATTATCACCAAGTTGGTCAATGAGTAATAACATGACTGACGTTCAATTAGGACAGTATTTAGGTTGTTTATATCAACACAAGCAACAAGTAAAATAATGAACAAAAACAAAAAAAATTTAATATTGAATATATTAACTTTTATTTTAGTTAAGTGATGAATGTCGTACTGAACTTAAAAGAATAATGAGTATTCGAACAAAAGCAATTGGTTTGATGCCTGAAATTGAAGATAATTGTATGAGAGATTTAGCAGCATGTAAAAAGCCGGAAATTAAAGGAGAAGTAAGAGAATTATAAATGATTTCAATAAACTATTCTTTTTAAAGTCATCGAATTGAAGGGAAAAAAGTTTTCACTGTCAATGTAGTACTTTTCGAAAAATAATATAAATATCCTTTATTGCAAGTTTATCTGCATCATCATCACAAGTATATCGACGGTAGATTTCCGCTTGAAGAACATCAATGAATATATTACGATAGAGCGGCTATTAGAAAATAGTCAATCATTTAAGACATTGCTCTCTCAAAAAGGAAAGATCAGTGTTGGTCAGAATTATCGAAATTATGATAAATCCATAGAACGATTGTGCGAGATTTCGTCTTTTATATATGACATAGTTTAGTATGTGACATTTCGTTTTTTTTTAAAAATTTTTGATGATTTCAGCCATGGCTAGATCTGTGAGAGTTCATGATTGAAGAACTAAATTGGTATCAATCTTCCAGTTCTTTTAAATCAATACGCTGAGTCCATATGCTACTTGAAAAATATGCTTTTTTCGATCACACATTTCAGAATTCTTGAGGGAGCTTGACTCCCATGTGAAAAAAAATTGATGCAAAAAAACTGATTCTAAATCGATTGAAATCATACATTTTGACATAGTTATTATTGGATTATAATCAACAAATAAACAAAACTAACGAAATCGACTTGAAATGTTTTTTTTTCTGCACAATTTTAAATCAGTTTTAATTTAAATAAGAAACTGTTATCACAGTCCCTATTGGATTAATATATGAAACATGATGTAGCTGTTGTTACTAGTTATAGGGAGATTGCTTTATTTTGTTCATCTTGAGATGTATTTCTTCAACCTCCTTTTATTTATTTCTCGAGAAATACGATAAGACAGTAATTAATATATTATAACGAGCCGTTATTGATATAAGACTTGTAATCATATATCAACAACGTCTATCACGGTGTATGGGAGGAGGCAAGTGCAAATTCGTAGCCTATATACTTCAACACCTTTTAGATCGTATTTCATAATAATCAGAGTAATATTTTATTGATTATAGAATTCTTAGTTATAATTCTATTTTATGATAATCTTTTTCTTTTTTTAGGAATTAAAATGTTTACAAAAGAAATATAAAACACTTGAAAGTGAATGTAAATCAGCTGTTCAAAAATATACAAAAATGACAATATCTAATCCAAGTTTTGATTTTCTTCTTATGAAGACATGTGGACCAATGATACGAATGTTTTGTTCGGTAAATTAACAGAAAACAAAAAAACATATATTTCTTGTTTTCTATAATCATACTATTCTTATTATATATTAGAATGTTGAAAGTGAAAATGAAAATGAATTAATTCGTTGTTTAGTTAAAAATAAAAATAATCAAAAAATGGATTTTCGATGTAAAACTAATATTGAACATCATCAAATAGTAAGCAAAAAACAAAAAAGATTAACACAAACTTAATTAAAAATAAAAAACGAAATTATTTATCGTTTTCTAGATAAGTTTAAAAGATGAAGCATTTTTAAGTGAACAATTTCGAAAACATTGTAATGATGAAATAACTAGTCATTGTTCAACAAAAAGATCCAAGTAATATATTTTTTTAAAAAAAATAAAACTTTGTTTTTCTATATATAAATTTTTAATTTAGAGCATCAGTTATTCAATGTCTTGCCAATCTTGTTCTACAAGATGTTATAAAGAAAACAAATCAAATAAAAGAAAATTGTCGTAATGAATTAAAAATTGAGCTTCTTCAACGTGTTTGTTAAACGTTTATTTTTTTTTTTTAATCTTATTTAAAATTTCATTTGTTTTGTTTTAGAGTGAAAGTATTAATCTTGATCCATTATTAGCTAAAGCATGTCGAAATGACATACAGAAATTTTGTTCTTCTCGACTTGCAGGCAATGCCCAGGTGATCTTAATAAATATCTAATAGAATAATATATATGTACATATGTATTATTGTTTTTTTTAATATACAGATTATTGATTGTCTAAAAGCTCATCATAGTAAAGTATCAGCAATATGTTATGCTAGATTAAAAAAACGTGAAAAACTTGATATTGTTTTACCTGGAGCTGATTATAGTTTAACTACAAAATGTGCACCACTTATTCAGGTATGTTAATATAATCAACACAGAAAAAAGAAGCCTTGTTTTTATCATATAATTCATTTAGAAATATTGTGCAAATGAAAATAAACAAAATATTTTATTATGTTTACGACGTAATATTAATCAAGATAATACACCGCCTACATGTCGAACTGTTTTATATCATCGTTTAATGGTTCTAAATAGCGGTAAGATTAAAATGAAATATTTTTGCTTGAAAGACATGAGTACGAAGTAGTCATTCACAATAATATCAACTTTAACCGTCAATGTTTTATAATACTCTATTAAATATATTGTAATTTTCATTGTGGAAGTACCAATGAGAATAATTATTTGTAGTTAGAAATTTACTGAGATTAAGAATCAATTTTTAGTTTTTTGACCAAGATTCTCGATCAGAGATATGTCGTCATTTGTATTATCATCTTCTCTATTGTGTATCTCTCTCTTTTACTTGATTCATGGTTTTTGCGCTCATTGTTCTGTTATAGCTGTTATGTACTAGCGCCTGATTATTAGTGTGAATTATTATTTTTATTGAAGAGAGTTATATTATTGTGAGAATATGAGTTGTATTGTATTTGGTGTGAGTATTACAGTTGTCTATTGTACAACATCATTATATTAGCTTCTCTCTCTATTACGTATCGTCAAGAGAGAACTTATCCAACTTATTAACATTGTTTATCTAGCATTGAGCTTGCAGAATATCAAACCTTCTCAAGGGAGCCGCCTGAAGATGTCTGACTTTCTGTCAATCTTTTTATATCTTCATGGTAATTTTGGTTAGATTCCAGATTTTGAAACATCATTTGCTTGTCTCTGGCTGAAAATGAAATTAAACTAAGCAGATAATCTTGTCACGAGATGAATAAGAGAAAGACGACCCAGTGAGAGATCGTTCATTACGAAAAGGATTAGCCCACGCTACCTAGTTTTTGATCTAGGAGACACTTTTGAAAACGATGGCAGATTTAAAGGATCGAACAATCGCGCTTCCCTTTCGGAATATTTTCAATTTTTCTCAGTTAACGACACCCTAAAATTAACCGATACAATCACTAACGACCTTTCAAACACGATGTATAGTCATGATCACTTCATATTCCCAAAATTGTTCATTCGTCAGTGTTTGAAACATACCACTATATATATAAATTTTAACTTAAAATTATAATATAGTGTTTATCTGAAATCTTACATAAATAATACCGAATTTATGTCAAAAGTTAATCGAATATAGTTTTTTCTAAACATAATTAGTGATATTCATATATATGATGGTGACAAATATAGACGAACAAGGTCTATTATCAGACCAATGTCTCTATGCTATCAATAGTATGTCCTTAATTAAAAATGACTGACAGATATATAGTTCTTGAGTGCTCAAACTAAGTTATTGACTTCTGAGTTATAAAGCACTTGATAAATATTGTTTTTTTTTCATTGAGTTCTGCTTTATCATTGAAGATCATAAATTGACTTTATCTGATAATTTTAAGACAATATGAAACGATAAAAGATAGAATTTCAGTTTATCATATATACATCCAAAGACTATGATTCTTATATTATTCAAAGTTTTTTTTTTTTTGATTATAAGAGTGTTAGTACTTTTAGAATAGGTTAGCACGATCTACAATTGTTCTTATAGCTTATTCAAGATTGCATTTAAATGATGTTCTCATCGCAAAATATGTCATTACGAAAGACTGAACATGAAAAAGAATTTATTAGACGATGAAATAATGGCATTTCAATTTATTGTGACAATAAAAAACAAAATTTTCATTAGAGAACTTCTATAATACATGTTCTTGAGAGCAAAACTTTTGTCTAGTACATATTTAATCTAGGAGCTAACATATAAACAAATGAAATAAACACATACTGATAGAAGAAAAAAAAATACGAGGAAAAACATTATTCTCTGGAGGCAATATTCTCCAATCTAATTAACTAAACGAGCAAAACAAGTCTTCTCTTTATTTTCATCTTAAGATCTAAATAAATTAAGCAATCAAAATAAAGACCTTCTTGGATCATTACATATAATATTTTATATGAATTTATCAAAAAAAAAACAAATTATTCATCATTGAAACAAAATGTTTATTTCACATTTAGATGCTCGTTTTCATAAAGGTTTAATTGAAAATTGTCAAAATGATATTAATCGATACTGTCAAAATGAAATCATCGATGATGATAATGATGCTGATGAATCCGATGATGATGATGATGATGATAATGACGGTGATAATAATAATAATAACAACAATGATAATAGTAAATTATTTTTTATTTTTAAAATTGATTGTTTTCTCTATATACTTTAATGTTTGAATTTAGATGATCAAAATACTGATGATATACAAGATCGTGATATGGGTGGTCGAATAATAGGATGTTTACGTTCAAAATATGCTAATACACAAGTTGAATTAGAATCAAAATGTATTACAGAATTAGTTGATGTTATACAAACATCAAAACTTAACATTGACATCGATGTTAAACTTTATCAACAATGTAGGAAAATAATTAATACGGACTGTACAGGTGTTGATAAAGAAGATTGTCTGAAATTATTATATCAAAAAAATCAACTTAAAGATGAAGGTTGTAAACAAGAAGTTATACGTATTATAAAAGAAGGACAAGCTGATATACATGTTGATTCCGCATTGGCATCTGCTTGTCAAGTTGATATTCTTCAATATTGTAATGATGTCCCAATAGGTAGCAAAATTTTACTTAATGAATTCTTATCTAATATTTTTCTATGTTTAGGAAGTGGTAAACAATTAAAATGTTTAATAAAAAAGAGTAAATCTGTCTCGAATTCTTGTCGAAGTGTTTTATTAAAACGACAAGAATTATGGAGAAGTGTAAGTTAATTTTAATATAAATTATTTGTTTATTAAAAACAAAACATTTTACATTTTAGGTCTCTCATGTAGATGATATTGATGATTTAGCAAAACTAATTGCCAATTCGCATAATCAAATATATCTCTATGCAGTTATTTTTACAATATTATTTGTGATATTTCTAGCTGGTTGTCTTTGTCGTCCATGCATTCGATCTCGTCATATGCAAAAATATAAACGAATCAACTAAAATGGCAATAATGAAAAAAAAAAAATCTTCATCAATTTTAGAACATTATCTTTGTTTTGGTTTTGTTCTTTTCCATTTTTTTCTCAAATCTCCTCAATTTTTATTTCATATTTATCAATACTCATCGAAAACTTTTTTTTCCAAATTTTTCTTATTTTACTGTGATAATATCCTTTGTTTTTTATTTTGCTATTTTCTCAGTAAAACGTTATGCATTCTGCTTTATACTAACAACAGCAAATAAATAAATTTTTTTTTTTTCGAAGAAATAAAAAAAAGAAAACAAAAAGAATCTTAGAAAAAAAGAAAGAAAGAATCAACGAGGAAGACTAGATGGTATAGATACAAGAAAGAAAGGAAAAGAAAAATTGCCTGGCGTTTGTTTTGTTCCATCTAATTACAATAAACTTTGCATTTCTTTTTGATTATCTTCAATTAAATCGTCTTCATTATCGATATCATCTAATCGATTATGACTTATTGTACTTATTTGTGTAACAGGTAGTGAAGAACTTGTTTGCCATTCTAAGGAATAAATTATTGATTAAAACTTTAAAATAAAATTTGTTTTCTTTTCTTACCACCATAATTATCATCGGTTTGTTCATCATCAGACTCTCCATCATGATCACTTTCACCATATGTAACAACACTACAATCGCATTGATCTTCACCTTCAAAACAACCACATGAATCTATAGGAGCATCAGCACAATATAAGATTTCATCCTGACTTTGAGGTCCTATTAAAAAATTTCTTTAATCATGTTTTTATTATTATATAACAATTACTTTCTTCATCCATAAGCATATAGTGATCACCACTACGGCCTCTTGAATGTTGAAAACACTGATGATGTTCTGAATCACTTGTTGTAACAGGTGTAAGTGTTTGTCGAATACCAATAGGTACATCTTGACTTCGAATGATGTCACATACTAGATATATATATACATAAAATTAATATAAAATTTATTTAAAAAAGAAAGCAAATTTTTTTTTTCTTAAGTGATCATACCAACAGTATCACAGAGACCAATACGTTCTAATTGACGATAAACAAGTAAATGACTATTATTTAATGCAAACCATTGATTATTATGTGCACATATTTGTAGTTTTGGTGGACAATCACTTTCCATTAATTTTGTTGATATATCAATCATTAATTTTTCATCAATAACTGAATGTTTTAAATCACCTAAACTTGAACTTGTAAAATTAATATTTGATGGTGCTAATGTTAATGTTCGGGAATGACAAGAATTTGTTGATGATTTCCAAAATGGTTTCCAAGAAGAAAAATAACTTTTAACGTTCTGCATTAAAGAGATAATATTAATATCAGATGTTCAAAGAAAAGAAAAATAAAATGATCTAAAGTAGTAACATAATCATAAGATAATGTTCAGTTAAAGAGAAAGAAGAAGAAGACGCAGAAAAATAAGTAATATAGCAAGGTTCTAATCAATATTATGTAATATTCTTATACATACAATCTGAATTGCAAATGGTATTACTGTTCTATTACGAATGTCAGTCATCAGTACGACTATGCTATCAAATTGGCTGTGAAATTGCTTGTTCGATTGGGATACTATTGAATATCTAGTTTGCACTAGACATTGATGGAATGAGAAAAGAAAATCATAACTATTGATTATCTTTCTATATTCTCCAATCATTGATTTTGCTTTTACTAATCACTAAACTATTCTTAATCGTCTTTTCTATTAAGCATATATAGAAAAATAACATAAAAACTTACCGAATATAGACTATTGTCTATCAAAAATGCCAGCTATATATTTGATGATCAAATGACTTGTATTGATAATTTTTGCTTGTCTGACGAATGCGGGTCATGTAAATAGGAGAGTCTCATTCTCTCTCGTTCTCATCTAATTGTCGTCGTTGGTACCATCTCTACGACTATAGAGAGTCTGCAATACGCAAGAGAAAGCGTCGATGACGACAATTCACTAGGGGAAAAAAAAAAGAACGAAGCGAGAGAAAGACAAGTTCCTATCATTTCTTTATTTTTATATATATATTTCTCTCTCATTCGATCTCTTTGTCATCTTTCATTCGTTCTTTAGCAATATTATAAATTCAATATAAATATTTGGAATCGACAAAGTGAAGATGTGATCATGATGTATTGAAAATTAGAATATTCTAAATTAAAAAACAGAAGTTTATTTATTGAATATGTTCATTTTCGAGATTAACTCCATTCGTTTTTTTCTTTTTATCATGATATATATCTATTTGTAATAATACTAAAAAATTCTTAATGATATATATAAGATGTTAGTAATTGATATTTATCTTATATCTATTGTTTAATAAATTAAGAATAATTGATGACATGTAGAGACAATAAACTGTTTTGTTTCGTTACCTTCTGTGATAAGTACATTGCAGTAGCAAAATTTTCTTTTCCTTCTTCTATTACAGTACCTCGTTCGTCATTTCTTTTCTTGTAACCAGATGAGTTCTATCTAACGAATGTGATTAATCAATGCAAATATATTCTACTCGAGTGAGCGTCATCGTTACGGCCAAGGATTCTTCACTAATAATGCTGCCAGCAACTGATGGAATGTTGACTTTTGTAACGCTATTTTTTTTTGTTGAGAACGGATGCACATGCAATCGGATACATACATACATCCTATATAAATTTATTCTAGTTATTTTGATGATGGGCCTAGGCTATCGACAAAACGTATACATAAACCGATCTCTTATTGCACACTTATTCAAAAGGAGAAGAAGAAAAAAAAAAGGGGAAGAGAATAGTGAGACAACCGATGATGCCGTTTCCTTAATAGATTTTTCCGATTTTCGTCGTTCGTATTTGATCAATGCTAAAGAATATACGGACGCATGCATTTCTAATGTCAGATACGCTGTGCAACCTCATAATCAAATTTATTCTCGCTTCGCAAAGCTCATCTGCATTTTTTTTTCTCTTTCTGTAATTCGTCAAGCTAGAAGAAAAAAAAATATACCATTAATTGGACTCATGTAGTATGATGAACACTTGATAAAAATTTAAAAATTGATAGCATTTATGTGAATATATATATATTTCTTCTTCGAAAAACAAAACAACAAATACGTAATAATAATCACATCATAGTCACTTGATCATCAATTGACATGGACAGAAAATCAACAAGCGTGTCAGATGGTCTTGTCTATCGACATGTCGAAGCTTGTCACTGTTGACCGACTGTCCTTTTTCTTTTCCTTTCGGCCATAAGAGTATCGATAATCTAATTCTAACATACTCGTTTTTATGCTTTTTCTCTATGGACAAGCACGTACAATGTTATATGACATCGAAGATAACGAGAAAAAAATGATGTGTGACTACATTAATAGATGAAACTGCCATACATTATTAAACGAAAGACATAAGTTCATAGCTTAGAAAAAAGAAAAAGTCAAATTGTGTAATAAAGCAAAAAAAAGCGGAAATCGATTTTGATAGTTGGAAAAAAACAATTATTTCTTCTTTTTATGATTAAATTTTTCATTTTGTAAATAAAATTGTGCTCACTAAAACAATCAACTGATCTGATATGAATGAATAAAATAAATTAGTGCCTTTATCGAATACTATAATGTGATTTTCGATGGTTTAGTTAAATTAATTATTATTAAATTTTTGCCTATGATAATTCTATTTGTTTAATTAAATCTTTGGTTTATTCATAGAAATCGAGGTGTTGCGAATAAAACTTTGAAAATATCTCTATGTCTTGATTGTTATAACAACGAGAAAAATTAACTTTTATCACAGATTCAATTGTTTTCTTGAAGTAGAAATATATTTCGGTCGAAATAAAATTAAATCGGTATGATACAAAGAAATTTTTATAAAAATCGTTTGTTTTCAATGCAGAATATCAATTTCTCTGAACTTTTGTAGTGAAACTAAATATTCGCATTTTTAAAAATTATTCTTTCTGTTTGGTATTAGAATTTTGAAGTTCATTTGTCTTAGTAAAAAAAAAGGTAGCAAGTTTTTATGAAAATCAATGCACAAAATGAAGTTTTCGAGAAACAGATGTAGAAAAATGATTTTTTTTTTCTTCATGTATATCTTAATTTATTTCAATTCTAGTCTGATTGTCTCAATTCTCATTAACAATGTGACAGTTTTGAAAACAAAGAGATTATATTGTTAATTTAAAATATAATATTCATTATAATATTTTATTTGTTGTTGTTTAAATATGATAAAATAGTACCTAACATATCTGTTAATTTATGCTCAGAATGTAATAATATCAAAAACAAAAATAAGATAAAAGTTTGTATTTGACAATTTTCTCATGGCTAAAACAAAAAGAAGAATACCAATTGAAAAAAAAACAAAGGACGTTTTTAATTCTAATAAAATTTTTATTTATTGACAATAGTGAACAAAAGTAACATGGAAATGATACCTTGAATAAAGATAAAACAGTTCAATAATGAATACAATCGAACGTGTCTTTATTCAATCTATCAGTAGTTTATTTGAAAGTACCAAAATTACAGATCTTCTTTTAATTAATTGTGACACTGATACATGTTGCTTTTGAATTACTTGGTAATGTATTAATTGTTCGGTTTGTTACACCTGTTTCACAGTTTCTTTTTCTTGACCAGAAATAGAAGTTGATCACATCTATTGCAACAAAACTCAATGAATACTGTGAGACTCACCTAATTTGATATAAGAAAGGGTGGCATGTCTCCACATGATTGCATTTCTGATAGCCAAATCGAAACTTGAAGGTCTTTTAACATTCATAGAATATGTACTTACACATATTCAAAACATTTTTTATGATAACACTTTGTAGTGTAAATAGTGGCAAAAAAAAGTATTCAAATTTAATCAACTTATTTCTATATAGTTAGAATTGGTAAGTGATTGTGATATTCATTTGTATGTATAAAAATAAAATAGAATGTTTATCTTTTTATTGCATGAAAA